CCCCAAAACCCCAAAACCCCAAAACCCCAAAACCCCTTTATTAGTTTACAAAATTGAACAATAACTCTTTCACTAGTCTCGCAATCAGCGAAAACCAGTGCTAAATTTCTTAAATCCCTCTCTCTTCTCTATAATTTTCCAAAAGAATATTCATTAGATCATCAACATAATTATTTTTATCCAGACTTCTTCTTCATCATCTTCTTTGATAATAGCTTTATCATTATCTTAGGCTTCTTCTTGTGCTATACAGAAAGGAGTTAAATCTGCATAGTTTCATTAAAAAAACTAGGGCTTATCTAGAGGTGTAGCATTAATTATCATCCCTGCACTCTTAAGCTCAGTTCCAAACCCGATAACCTCATATAAGCCAAACTATCTCTTTAAACAAATTTTCTCCATTTAGAACAAGCTCCTAACCCAAAACCCCTTCTCTAAAATCTACCGTTTCTCCTAAAATCCCTCAGTTACCCTTACAAAACTCCAATCCAAGCTCTCTTTTCCCTCAAACCCCCACACACTCCATCCACTTCATAAAATCCCTTCTTTCCCAAAAAAATCCAAACCACCAGCTATAGAAAACTCAAAGCCTCAGTCCTCCACAACTCTTCATCATAAGAACTAATTTTCTGACTTAAAAGGGCAAATCATGCACAAAGTTAGAAACTGACAATCTGGCTTACAACGTTAAAAGGGTTTTCAAACTTTTGAGTCTTTTGAGCCTGTTGGGGATTTTGAGTGGATTCCTGACGCACAGTATTATGTGAATAACTAAACCGACTATTTCTCAGAAGAGATCCATTAGATTCTATTCGGTTTAAAGGCTCTTTAGCCTCTTGTGAAAATGCATCAAACCTGTATTTTTCATGATGCTTTAGATTTCTTGAAGACATTTTCCTTGAAACTCTGGTAGACGGATATCTTTGATCTCTAAGTGGAGGCTTCTTTTCACTAAATTGCTTCATCATAATATTTTTCTCATTGGTTCTCATACATTTGCTAACTTTTGCACAAGAGTCTGCAAATGAGTTTCTCTCAGGACTTCACATTTTGCTCATCATCGGACTCAAAACCATATGGCTATCAAAAGGCGTTCCAGGAGGTAAAATATTGAAGAGAGCAGATTGAAAATGAGGCTCCATGACTATTTCAGGTTTACCATCCTGGTTACGCTTCAATTTTTCCTGAAAGTTAAGATTCATAAGTTTAATTTTATTTCATTTAAGTTTCTTCTCTTTAGGGATGATCAAAGTCCTCTGAGAATGAATCTTTGGCAAGAAGTTAGGCTTGATTACATTAGCGTCAGTCCTGATCCTCTTCCTCCTCTCGCTGTTAGTCCTAGGTTTAAAATCAATAGAAAACTTTTGAGTATTCTCTTCAACTTGGATGCTTCCTCTAATCCGCATGCAGCTAGTAGGGTCATGGCTCCTTGTTCGATGGGGCTTTTTCCTAGAATGCTCTAGTTGGGCTTCTTTTGGGTATATTTTACTCAGCAAAGTTCATTTCCTCTGACTACTTCCTGCTATGTTGTGTTTAGAACTCCCAGAAGGTTTCATTGGAAGCTTAAGTTTCATGGAGTTCTTCAGGTACGAACCATTAGCCCCTGTCGTTTTCTGGTTCTTATCTACAAAACATTGTAATTTCCTGCACGAATTGGTGGGATTTAGAGAAAAATTCAAGATTTTTGTAAAAAATTCATCATTCAAACGCTCTGAACCCTTTTTGGCATTAATTTTTTTTAGTTTTCTGGAAAATTTTCAGGTCACTAGAACGATATAAATTGAGGAATAAAAAATATTAAACATCCACGTTTGTCAGTTAGGAAATATGAAAATGGGTTTTTCTAATCTATTTGTCAATATTTCTCATATTTCCCAAAAATAGCGAGCTTATAATCATCAATCATATCTAAAATAATATTCGTTAGATATCCTGCCGACTAACGATGCCTTCTAAAGAAGATCTATATAAAACCCTGTCTTTTTATTAATCAAGTCGAAGAAGATGGTAAGATCTATAGACTCTTCTATTATACAATTTTGGACAAAACATAATCGACTTAAACCAAAATATGATCAAATTTAGATACAGTTTATCACATATATGAGATTGAGAAGGAAAAGCTACCTCTTGATCTATGAGTCCCAGGATGGATAGATCATTTGTTGTTAAACTCTGATGCAGATAAGAAGTCCATGAACTGCCTAGAGAGCCTGAATTTAGAATTATCTCCCTCTTCCATCTTCTTCCCCAGAGGTTTGGAATTTTCCTTGAAGAATTTCTCTGGATCTTCTTGGCTAAGTTTAATTTTATCAATGCTGATAAACTTTTTCATCTTTGGAGGAATCAGGCTGTCGTTTGATTTTACTCTTAATAACTTCTTGAATTTGGGTTTAGACAGATGAAATTCAGGAACAATGACATTATTCCTTGCAGTTATAGGAGCTTCAAGACATTTCTGGTTAACATTTCAAGTCTCAAATCTTTGCTTTCTACTTGATGGAGAAAAGATTTTGCCCTCTTTAGTTTGAGGTTTATGACCCACATTAATCTGTCTTTGGAAGTCAACTAAAGCTTCTGGAGGTAATTGCTCCTCTTTATCAAGATTCTTAAGTGACTATAAAAATTGTCTACGCCAATTACCTCAAAATGTTGGAAATTCTGCTCTAAATGATTTGTTTCATTGTTGTTCTGACTTCTAGAGAACGTAAGAGCTGTTGAAGTCATTGCAGTGTTTACGGTACTACTCTTATTAAACTTTGGAGTATTATACCCACTAAGATCTGATTCTACAAGTGAAGCCTCTTGGTTGCTTTCCTGTATCGAATCAAAACGTTTATTTGCTATTATCTCTTGATGAGAAGACATTATTAAAATATATCAATAGAAAATTATGAAGTAGGGGTTTTGGGGTTTTGGGGTTTTGGGGTTTTGGGG